CATGTGTTTGACCACAAACTTTTAGATCTTTTTGGCAATTCATTTAAGGGTGAAGTTTTGCCATGTGTTTGACTACAAATTTACAAATATTTTTGGCAACTCATTATTGGGTGAAGTTTTGTCATGCATTTGGCCACAAATTTTTTTGGGAGATATATTTGACTTTTTTTTGTAAAAAAAAGGAAAAATACATAAAAAACCCCCTGAACTTGACACGCAAACTTACTTTAGTACTTAAACTACACGGGTATTTATATACTCCCTTAACATCTTTTAAGTGATTTTTTTCAACCCTCCCATCACCAGCCCAATTGAAGGCTGAGTATTGTTGAGTGACACACGTTTTCATTCGTCCACGTGTACATTAACAAAATTCCTAATTAATTGCTTAAATCTCCATAATAATTATTTTTTTAAAATATTGAGCTAAAAATTAAACCCATCAATGAATTTACTCCCCAATATACAAACTATAATTCAAATTTCAATTGCATTTTTCAGTTTAGTTATACGATACCACCTTCCTCAAAAATTGAAAAAATTATTTGCATAAAAATGAAATATTATTAATGAATTGGGCAAAATCTCCATAGTTAATCTTTTTCCAACAATATCTTCGATTTTTTTTAATGGAAGTCAACGTCATTCCGATAACGCTTTAAACTGATAGATCTAATAATTTTCTTTGATGTAAAAAATGGTGGGTGAATCAAACACCAAAAAATTTGTAAAAAAAAAGAAAGAAACGATTAAAAATAGAAAAGAAAAGAAGAAGAAGAAATAGTGGAAGAAGTTATATTGAGTAAATGTTTACTTGAACTAAATGAAAAGAATAAAAAAGAGAAAGAGTTATGAGAAGAGAAAAAAAAATGAAGAAGAAGATGCAGAAAAAGAACAAAAATGGAAAAAAAAAAATGAAGAAGAAGATGCAAAAAAAGAAATATAGAGAGAAAAGTTAATTCAAAATAAAATATTTAAAAATTAGTAAAATAAGTTATTAAGAATTTTACCCAATAAAAAGATGACATGTGTTAGTTTTTTGGTGTTTTTTCCTTTCTCACGCGCTTATGAAAAGTTGGTGATACAAATTTTGCCACGTCATTCTTTAAGGGGTAATTAAATTCAATTCAAATTAAATTAGGGGTGGTAAAGAAACATTTGTATAGTTTAAGTGCTAAAGTAAGTTGTGCGGACAAGTTCAGGGGGGATTTTATGTCTTCTCCCTAAAAAAAAATATGTTTTATACCTATAAGTTCTAAGAATTTATTAAAAAGGCAAAATGGTCTGGTGGACCCTTGTACTTGTATGTGTTTGTATTGTGAACCCTTCTACTTGTCTATTTGTCATCTGAACCCCTGAACTTATTGAAACACAATATTTTAAACACTATTTCTGACTTGGCATCCTATGTGGCATCTAATACCAGAGTGCGTGTAAAACACACCTATTAGGAGCGTGAGACCCTTGAAAAAAGGGTCTAAAAGTCACATTAGGACTTTGTAAAGCCATCATCTTCCTATTTGCATCTAACACCATTGTTGGATAGAATTTGAGGTTTTCTTGGCCTCTTTTCCGATCTTTTTCCCAAAAATTTCTTCTCTATCGTTTCTTGTTATTATACGACTCTTTTTTTTTTTTTTTATGAAAAACGCCATGGAAGGCATACAACTACTACCAAAGCATCTTACACTAACATTAGGCACAAAAATGCAAAATCCCCAAAAAATTTCAACAAAATCAATGTAATTGATTAAAACCCCAAAACCAAACAAAGACACAAATAGATCAAATCCAAACTAAACAACAAATAAATTCGAAAATAAATTGAAAAACCTACCAAGATAAGTTGAAAATCAAACAAAAAAAACTCAATAATTTTTTACATTGACCCCTTGTTTTAGTTCCAAACCAAACCCAAACTTATTGCCTTCTTCTTGTCCTCCTCACCTTCTCCGACCAAACTGCCTTCGTTCTCACCATTTCCGACAAGCTTCAACCAACAACTATAAATGAGAACCAACAACAACAACAACAA